CACCCACCCCCCCCCTTTAAAATTTTTATTTTTAGTTAAGGTCTTATAACCAAGCAAAACCAGTCAAATAAACACCTATATTTAGGTTGCTGAAGTCACAAGTGCTAGTTAGTAGTCTGAATATTTGTGGCCATATTGCTGCACAGTCAGTTTTCAAACTGGAATCCATGTAAAATACCTATCAAATTTCTTTTTGGGGTGCTAGGTTTCTAATCTAGGGCACATATCAATTTGAACTGTGACACATTGTTTCATACACACACATAGACTCACACTCTCTCATATATATGTATGTATACATGTATACATACATCATATATATATTTATATTTATAAAAAGGAGCCACAAGTATCAGTGGAGATGACTCATTCTTTAAAACATGAAAGAGAAGGCTGGGCGGTGGTGCACACCTTTAATCCCAGCACTTGGGAGCCAGAGGCAGGTGGTTCTCTGTGAGTTTAAGGCCAGCCTTGTCTACAGAAAGAGTTCCAGAACAGGCTCCAAAGATACACAGAGAAACCCTGTTTCAAAAACCAAAAAAGAAACAAAACAAAGTAAGCAAACAAACAAAAAAAGATGCTGAAATATATATAATATATATGTATATATATAATATACATATACATACACACATATACATATATATAGAGTTCACATATACTATATGAAACTTTTATTGTGAATGAATGTATATGTATGTGTGCACATACATATGTGTGCATGTGCGTGTGCAAGTATGTGTGAGAGAGAGACAAAAAAAGAGGTCAAAGATATTTCTAGGGTGCAGGAGATAGCCTTGCAAGCATGAGGACCTGAGCTTAAATCCCAGCACACGTATAAAATGCCAGGTAAGGTGACCAGTGCTGGGAATCCAGTGTGGTGGAGACAGGTGGAGGTGGAACCTGGAGGCTTGCTGGTCAGTCAGCCTAGCCTTATCAGTGACTGCCAGGCCAGCGAGACTTTGTCTCACAAAAACAAAAACAAGGTGGAGGGGCAACTGAGGAACAACATACAAGAGTGACCTCTGGCCAACACACACACACATGCACACACACACACACACACACGCGCACACACACACACACATGCACACACACATGCACACACACACATGCACACACACACATGCACACACACATGCACACACACACATGCACACACACACACATGCACACACACACACACACACGAGTGTATTTTTAACTGTAAATTGTGACAAAACTGTTGAGAAGACATCATACAAGGAGGCTTTCATGGCTTCATTCTTTCTCCTTTCTGAGCTACCCTGTAGGCTGTAGCCACGATAATTTGAATCATTGCTTTTGCTATACTACCTCCCTGCTTAAAAGCCTTCAATTTTCCAAAGGCCAGGCTCAATTTCAGTTCCTCAGCAGGGCATTGACAGGAGTACAAAATGTGTCTCCCAACTAGAGTGCCAATTCCCACCAGAGAAGTCTCTGCCCAGCCATTTTTGACTGCATTGGTCTCCCTACTGACTGTCCCTACCAAACACTCCCCATGTACCCTTGCCAATCACCTTTCCCACACTCTTCTTGTCACCTGGATCTCGTTCTCAGGTCCCCATGGAAACAGCAGGCACTCGGTAGGTCAAAGTTCAATTAAGAGCAGCTTAGAATCGTTCCTGACATCATCCTCACATGTGCTCTCTAGGATTTCCAAGGCGCTTGGTGAAGGAAAGTGCGGACTCTTAGTCTTCCAAATGCCCCTCAATGTTCAGCACCTTTGTGCATTGTCAGTGTTTACATCAGCTGAGTACCATCTGTGTGTATCACACTATACAGCTGCATAGACCCACCAGAACTGAAGAGGTCTTAGAGGAAGAGACGTTTACTGACACCTAACCTCTGAGACCCTCTTCCCTGCCTGGAGAGGGAGACTGAGTTTGAGGAACAGCAATATCTAAGAGGAAGGCGAACGAGCAGGAGCTGTTGTGTCTGCACAGTCTTCATGCTTACCAGCAGACGCCTGCGGCAGAGCATCTTCTGTGATGATCTATATCAAGTCACAGAGGGAGTAAACAGGACCTGGAAAGACCCTGTGAACAATGAAACCTGGGCTTGAACACAGCACTCAACTTCCTAGTCCAATTTAACCTCTATACTTCCTTCTCAAATGACTAGATACCTTCAGCAACACCCCCCCCCCCCCCCCCCAGATTAACGTGGTATGTGGATCCAGGGAGAGCTACAACTCCTGGAGACAGCTTAATTACAGCCACTGTTCTTATTTGTTTTGGATACAGGGTCTCACTGTGTATTCCTGGTTGGCCTGGAATTTACAATGTAGACCAGGCTGGCCTCGGACTCACAAAGATCCACTTGCCTCTGCTTCCCTAGTGCTTGGATTAAAGACCATGTGGCACCACGCCTGGCAACTACTCTTAATTGTTCTTAATTTTCTCTGCATACCATACTGAACACACTTAGACAGAATCTGGTGGAGCAGGGGTGGGGAAGAAGTGGGGGGGGGGCAGCATTTGATTTTCCCTTGAGAGGCAAATATCCAATACTTTCTTCTTACTAGGACAGATCACTGGTCCTAAGTCTTGCTGGGAGGCTAATGGGTGGGTGGGTGGTAGTGCAGGTACTAAGTAAACAGGGGGTAGGCAGGCTGTCTGCACACAGGAAGCAGAAAACAAAGGCCTCTTACTCTTCATGCAAAGTCCACAGTGTGCAAAGGGTATCAATATTAGACATTTCTCACTGTGACATTTTGAAAGGACAGCCTAGCCCAGAACAATGGATACCCTTTGGGTACCATGGGCCATCGTAGCCTTAGGCCTTATTTGACGATGCTTGGCAGAGTCCCTGTACTTGGTGAACTTGACCTTGGGCATCGGCCTCCCATGATGACTCTACGTCACTCTGGTCTCTTCCCCTAGTGAAAATTCCAATCTCAGATGAATGGATGGATTCATTCTGGGAGCAGGGAAACCAGGCTAGGAGTGAATCAGAAGGACCCAACCCTCGTTCCTCTGCCAGCCATTGAGCTAGGAACTGAGTGCGATTGTGTGCCCAGGCGCTGGTGTTGGTCCCCTCTCTGGGAGACGGGGTCAGGGTCCACGCAAGAGATGACGTAGAAGCCTTCTACACAGGAAGAGAAAAGAATCTCAGCTTCCAGGGACAAAGCCACCCTTTTGGTGGTGACCCTCAATCGGACGAGGCACTAAGATGTGCCTGTACTGGTGAATTAGTTCATGAAAACCTCAGCTCCTGTTAGCTGCTGCCAGCTTCAATTCTCTCCAGCCTAATGGAACTCAGGGAATAGGATGCTGGTTTGTTTTTTCAGAAAAAGAAACATTCTGAAAGATAGGTGAAAACAACTTGTGTCAACTCATCCAGAGAATCTAGGCTGCTAGTTGTCTCTGCTCTATTCTCTTCCCAATTAGTGAAGAGGAAAACAAAAACAAAAACAACTCATTCTGTGTGTGTGTGTGTGTGTGTGTGTTTAAGGTATACATGCCAGGCTAAACAACAACAACAACAAAAAGCACATGTACTTTCTGCTTTCTACTTCAGGAAAGAAATTAAGCAAGAGAGATTCAAAGATTCAAGTGCACAAAACAAGATGGCTGGGGGCTCAGACTGAGGCTTCGGAGAAACAATTCCTTTAGGAAAGGGAATTGCAGAAGTGCTCCCTGACCTGTCAGTAGCCAAGCTATAACAAGATGGGGAAGTTAGGTTTTGGGGGTCCTAGCCCTCTGTTGGCTTCTTGGAATTACAGGTTGAGGGGAAATGAGCAGCTCCTGCTGGGGCTTATTGGAGCATTGCAGGGGGTGTCCCTTCCCTGCTTTCTCCAATTGCCTGACATTTGTCCACTAATTAATCTCAGTCTGAGAAGCAGGCGGAGGAAGGGGCAGAAACGGTCTATACTGTACAATACAGAGCTATCCTTGACATTGACTGACAGGAGCTGCTTGTGGCCAAGCGTGAAAGCCTTCCCAGAGGGTGACTAGCTAATTTCATCCATTCATGGCTGATTATCATGCACTTATTTTGCATAACAGCCTGGGTTCTGAGCAAGTCTGGCCCCTACATTAATGGTCCTCGGGCTCTAAAGAGGGCTGATTCATCTCGTACTTCTCGGAGAGCCACTTTAGTCATACCAATGCATTATAAGCAGTTGGAGTTTGCGGGACGGACGGAGTACTGTGGACACACAGGCTCTTGGGCTAATGGTAAAGTCCTTGACGTGGACAGCCATTAAAGAAGCCCTAGGAAGACAGAAAATCCATAGCTTTTTTTCTTGTGAACATAAAAAAAAACCCCAGAGCAACAAATAAATAAGGCTTTTGGGAAAAGAGAACCTTCTACAACAAGCATTGGGAAGTAACCACCGCGAGCCCCTCACCACTTGCTACTATGATACTTTAGCTCTAAGCCCCTTGGTTTGATGATCCCCATAAAATTTAAGCGAACTATGTCTGTTTTAGAGGGCCGGCAAGTCGGTCATAACCCTGGAAAGATTTAAACACTCCAATCACACATTAAGGGGGCGTGCGTGGTTGATTCTGGCCCCTTCCATGTGAGAACCAACTTTTAAATTCTTAAAAAGAATTTTGTCTTTTGAGGACAGTTATGGTGGTACTATTTCAGTTGTCTGAAAGCAGATGGATTTTTTCCCCCCTTTGATCAGAAAACTGTGCCTCGATAGCCTCAGTGAGGGACACAACTCTGGAGCGGGCAGTCGCGGTGGAGAGATGCTCACGGGAGCGAAGGAAGACACTGACTCCAACTCAATGGCTAAGTGAGGGAAGAGGGAAGAGAGACAGCTCACACCAAGGAGCTGGAAGGAGAGAGAGCAGGCAACAGGACCAGACGCGAGGGTCCCAGGCTAGGAGAAACTCCAGCCTGCCTTCCCGGAGTTCGGCCGAGAGATGGAGACTCCGGGAGGACAATCGAGGAGGTTCCCGGAACCTCTAAGGAGCGGGGCTGTCGGGCCGCCCTGGCTCCAGCCGACGCCTCCCGGCCTCACTCACCAGCTCATGGTCCCAAACCCACGCCTGCGGTCGGGGTCCTCTGCAGAAACTCCGTACTCCAGGATCACTTCCGGATTCGGTCAGTCTCCAGGAAGTGATGTAGGACCCGCCCCCTCTGTCCGGAAGAGGCGGGAAGGAGCCGGGCCTAAGGGTTAACCCTTTGTTTACTGTTTTAGGCGGAGTTTCCTTTGCAGGATACTGTTGCGCCCTGGTCGTGCCGTGAGGCTGTCTATGTAGAGCCTTCACCGGCTAGTCCTCGCAGTTTCTCTGTCTGAAATGGGGTTTCTTACCCAGAGACACAAGCAGAAACTATTGTGTAAGGAGATTGAGGAGACACAGTGAGAGAGAAGCTTGCGTTTGCTCTTTATATTCTTTCGCATCTATAAAATAAATATTGCATATCTCATATGCATCACCTGTAACAATAACAAGCAGGTCCCCGCCCCACTCCCCCCCAAGATGGTTCAGGGCTCAAATAGAAGCAGAGTAGGTGCTTTCGAGAGTGGACAGTTCTACGAAGTTATTCAATAAGGGAAAACGCAGAGAGCACCAGTGTGATGAAATGTACTTTTATTCACAACACTGTGGAGGTTGAGGCAGAGAGGGGTCATGAGTTCGAGGCTAGTCTAAGCTACGCACGTAGCAAATGCAAGGCCCATCTAGGCTTCATAATCAGTCCTTGTCTCAAGACAAAACAATACACTAAAACCCACCAAACAAAACAACAACAAAAGAGGAGGGTGTGGAGAACTCTGCAACAATGTTAGGAAAGGTCCTAAATTCTATTCCTTCGTTTAACAAAAATGTGCCAAATACGGTGCTAACCTGGGGAATACAACCTTGCAAAAGTAGTATTGACCTTGTCCCCTGCCCTTTTGGAGCTACTGGTTACCGAGAGAGGTAACAACAACAACAATAGATAGAGCTAGAAAAAGATTCTGGGCAGCCTGTTAGGGAGCCCTAAAACTCCCTATCTTGTACAAACCCATGTACAGTATCTTGTACATGGGTTTGTACAAGAATAAGAGCTAAGCAAGCAGTTGGTTTGTCTTTGGCCTCAGAATTCAGAGTAACACAAACTGCCTGGAGCTCTGCACTGAACTGTATTTCTCTGCCCAAGTACCTGTTTTAGAAGAGAGAAAAGCAAGCAGTGAGAGAGAGAGAGAGAGAGAGCCATGTTTAATCCTACCCCCTGACCTTCTCTCTAGGAATTCGCTTTCTTCAAATGGACCTTAATGGTTGCAGGTGCAGCCGGGGGAGCAGCTAAGCTCCTGTGACTTAAAAGTATACACAATGTGTTCCAAATTCCTAGGACACAGAGCCCCAGGGTAGGAGGACCAAGGATGGTTCATAGATTAGTTTTAAAAGGCTTCCCAGTGGGAGGTGGGTCCCAAGAAGCATCACACAGATCAGCTCCATCACCATGCCATTTTCAGGAAATGAGCAAGCATGAGTGCAGGAACAGTCTTGAAGAGGAGGCCAGGATTCCTTGAAGAGCATCTCGGGCAGAGAGCTTGGGTGGGGGAAGTCTTGTTCCTTAGTGCCTTTTGTACAGTGGGAGATGAATGGGAGGGGGTAGTATGGGTTTATGACGTTCCAGCGCATATGGATGGTTCAGCCGCATTTCCTCCCTTCCGCATACTCAGCCTCCCTCAGACATTGCCCATAGTGATAAGTATTTTCCAAAGTTTTAGCCTAGGCCACTGCTGTATACCAAGGGAAGTATGTTGGGGGGATGTGGGTTGGAGTAGCAGACACATTTTGCAGGATAAGAATGGATGAGATCTGAACTCAGAGAGCCAGGAGAATCTAAGGCTCTATTTCCCTCTTTGGCATCATGACCAATTTCACAAAAGTCGCATTCACTCCCTGGTCGTTAGCCCCTCATCTACAGGAGGGGTAGACGGAGAACGCTGCTTAAGTCTCCCTCAATCAGTTTCCAAGTTCACTGTTACATTGATTCTAGAGCAGTGGTTCTCAACCTCCCTAATACTGTGACCCCTTAGTACAGTTTCTCATGTTACGGTGACCCCGAACCACAAAGTTATTTTAGTTACAACTTCACTAACTATAATTTTGCTACTGTTTGAATCATAACATAAATATCTGATACCCAGGGTATATGACCTCTATGAAAGGATCTGTTCACCCCTCCACCCCCAGAAGGTTGAGAATCATTGTTCTAGAGACTCTTGGCAAATAGGACAGAGGAGACAGTATCTGAACAGAGAGGCAAGCCCAGAGAAATGAGTGGCACTGAGCAGTCATTGATGCCTAAGATTGAAGCTAAATACGGATCTTCTGGGAGAAAAGGATTCAGCCTGTGACCTAACTGGGGTTGTTTGTTTACCACCAGCCTAGGAGTTCTAGCATAATCAGCAAGGCCTTCTAGGTTACTGCGGATAATGCTGGCTTCCCAGGAGGAAATTATCTGGAAGTCTCTGAGCTTAACATGGCCTTCTTTCTTCTCAGCAAGCAGGGCTAAGGGTGGACATTGAGACTTCTTCCTGTCTGGACGTCTTGAAGCTTCCTTCTGTGGACATGCCTGTGAGTGGTTATCCTTGGTTAGCTGTGCATCAGAATGCGTGCATACACTGTGGAGGAAAGCTTGGCCTGCAGGGTTCGAACCTATGTCTTGCCTTTCTAGAACCAAAGGACAATACAATATGGGTTGATCCTGCCTATTCAGAGGAGGGGGGAAGGAGGAGAGTGGGCTTATAAGTAGAAACTCAGAGTGGAGAGGCGATGCCCCTGGTTGCAAGCCTTGTAATTATTGCTTCTTCCCCAGATGTCAGGTGGCACAGGTCTATTTAATGAACAAAGCTATAGAAGAGCTGATTTATATCTACCAGGAGTCTTTAACTCAGAACATACAAATGCTCTCTATGGGGCCTTGTCTCGGGACATGTTACATCCTGCTTTGTCCCGGCCTTTTCCATTCGAAGTTTATGGCTGGCCCAACTCTTTTACTATGTCAGCCTCAAGGAGGTCCCAGAAGCAGACCAGTACCCAGGCCTGCCGGGCTCTCCCAGTGTTTTTTTTTTTTAAACAGGGTTTCTCTGTGTTGTTTTGGAGGCTGTCCCGGAACTCGATCAGTAGACCAGGCTGGCCTTGAACTCAAAGAGATCTGCCTGCCTCTGCCTCCGGAGTGCTGGGATTAAAGGCGTGTGCCACCAATGCCAGCTAGTACTCTCCCAGCTTTGCACCTGCCTAGGGGGTACCACCAAGTCAGAGTTCCCTGAGAAATCAAGAGTCAATGACATGGGATGCCAAGTCAGAGTGGCAGAAGAGGAAGATGTCAAAGTAAGAGTTTGTGGAGGGTGGGAAGCCCACGTGGACTTCTTAGAGGTCAGGGTGAAGTGTCATATCTGAAGCTAGGATAGCAAGCAGCAGTCAGGACTAGGAACACCTGCTGGGCCTTGGTTCTGCCTCCAAGTGGGTTGAGAGTTACTTGTTTCTTCCTACAGGCTTCATTTCCTTGACAATGCTTTGCTGTCCATTTGTAAAGAGCAACCTATTATTATCTTGGCAACAGTCAAGGGTGTTGGGTACAATGTGAAGCGTCCAGACTAAATCAAGGATGTCAATTTAGACTGCCTATTAGCTATCTAGAATACTATATTGAGGAATCTGGGGACTCACTCTTCCATTTGTGAAGGCATTCTGTGATTGATTAGTAATGCCTGCCATGAATGAGCAAAGGGGATAAGATGGTATGTGTGCCATCTTATTTGTTATTTTGACAAATAGTCAATAGTCAACTGTGCACACCATGCCTTGCACTATTCTAGGCAATTAATATTTAATCCTTACAACAACCCTATAAGGTAGGTGGCAACAACAACCCTATAAGGTAGGTGGTACTGTCACTGTTTTCATTTTTTGTATGTCATGCATATAGGTATGAAGTGCAGCCATGTCGTGATGAAGGAGAGAGAGATCCCAACCAGGGCAACCTAGCTCTGATTCTCTTTTTCAATCACTGGAGTACATCACCTCTCCTCATTGACTGCCATAGTTCCTGCCACCTCTGTCTTTAGTTCTGTCGGGGTGCAGTGGGATCTCAAGCCAGCAAATGGGCCAGAAGCAGCACCAGTTCGGAAGGGACAGCACGTGACCAGACAGGCCCGACAAAGGACACTTTAACATGTATGCTTCCTGCCCTTTGGAAAGCTGGCACCAGCAGATGGCAGCACCTGGCAGGGGAGAGCAAAGGGCACCTCCTGACTCAGCCTGGAAGACCTGGGGGGGGGGGGGCATAATCCAGATGTCAAGGAGACAGGCAAGCAAGAGTGTGAAGGAAGCTTAGCCTAGGGCCCCAAGGAGGAGGCCCCAGACCCTAGGTCTGCAGGGAGCCGCCAGAGCACATGGCTTTGGTCCCATCTCTCAGCTTGCATTTCATGGCGATGGCTGTGCGCTCCCCCCACCCTCTCCTCCACTCTGGAAGAATGACTAACTTTAAGGACTAAAAAAAAAATGTTTTGATTACACTGCCTTTTCACCAACTGGGAGCATTAGTCACCCAGGATTGCTGCAGATAACGGGGAAGGCGAGCAGCGTCCCCCTCCTCCCCCTCCTTCTCTCCAATTAGCTCACAGGCCCGTGGAAGAGATGAGTGAGTGTGAGAGAGAGTATAACAGGATGCAAAACAATCCCCTCTGGCCTGTGCACTGCCCAGGCGTTGGGGTGTGAGGTGCTGGAGGAGGGCTGGGGAGACCCCCGCGGTAGATCCCACCCCAGGGTAGCAGGTGCTCACTGGAGACAGCTTAGCAGAGGGCATTAAGCCATGGCCAGCTGGCCTTGGGTGACCTGTTTCCCCGTAGGTCCTGAGTACGCTGGGAAGGGGAGGTGTAGGTAAACCACTAAAGACATGGCTCCTCCGGTGGGGACCCTAGTGGGGATGCTGTTAAGGCCATACATAGTGAGGCTAACAACTGTCCCTGGGTGGAGTCCCTGAAGAGTTTGGAATTTGGGGTTCACCATATTAGTGCCAGCACCCATATCCCTTCTCTGTCCCCAAGGAGTGGGATATGCTGTGTTGGGCTGGTCTTA